CCCTCAGTGGCCCTCAGCTGGTGTTGCGGGTGTTGCCGGCCCTCAGTGGCCCTCAGCTGGTGTTGCGGGTGTTGCCGGCCCTCAGTGGCCCTCAGCTGGTGTTGCGGGTGTTGCCGGCCCTCAGTGGCCCTCAGCTGGTGTTGCGGGTGTTGCCGGCCCTCAGTGGCCCTCAGCTGGTGTTGCGGGTGTTGCCGGCCCTCAGTGGCCCTCAGCTGGTGTTGCGGGTGTTGCCGGCCCTCAGTGGCCCTCAGCAGCTGGTGTTGCGGGTGTTGTCAGTGGCCCTCGGGTGTTGCCGGCCCTCAGTGGCCCTCAGCTGGTGTTGCGGGTGTTGCCGGCCCTCAGTGGCCCTCAGCTGGTGTTGCGGGTGTTGCCGGCCCTCAGTGGCCCTCAGCTGGTGTTGCGGGTGTTGCCGGCCCTCAGTGGCCCTCAGCTGGTGTTGCGGGTGTTGCCGGCCCTCAGTGGCCCTCAGCTGGTGTTGCGGGTGTTGCCGGCCCTCAGTGGCCCTCAGCTGGTGTTGCGGGTGTTGCCGGCCCTCAGTGGCCCTCAGCTGGTGTTGCGGGTGTTGCCGGCCCTCAGTGGCCCTCAGCTGGTGTTGCCCTTGCGGGTGTTGCCGGCCCTCAGTGGCCCTCAGCTGGTGTTGCGGGTGTTGCCGGCCCTCAGTGGCCCTCAGCTGGTGTTGCGGGTGTTGCCGGCCCTCAGTGGCCCTCAGCTGGTGTTGCGGGTGTTGCCGGCCCTCAGTGGCCCTCAGCTGGTGTTGCGGGTGTTGCCGGCCCTCAGTGGCCCTCAGCAGGTGTTGCGGGTGTTGCCGGCCCTCAGTGGCCCTCAGCTGGTGTTGCGGGTGTTGCCGGCCCTCAGTGGCCCTCAGCTGGTGTTGCGGGTGTTGCCGGCCCTCAGTGGCCCTCAGCTGGTGTTGCGGGTGTTGCCGGCCCTCAGTGGCCCTCAGCTGGTGTTGCGGGTGTTGCCGGCCCTCAGTGGCCCTCAGCTGGTGTTGCGGGTGTTGCCGGCCCTCAGTGGCCCTCAGCTGGTGTTGCGGGTGTTGCCGGCCCTCAGTGGCCCTCAGCTGGTGTTGCGGGTGTTGCCGGCTCAGTGGCCCTCAGCTGGTGTTGCGGGTGGCCCTCAGTGGCCCTCAGCTGGTGTTGCGGGTGTTGCCGGCCCTCAGTGGCCCTCAGCTGGTGTTGCGGGTGTTGCCGGCCCTCAGTGGCCCTCAGCAGGTGTTGCGGGTGTTGGCCCTCAGTGGCCCTGGTGTTGCGGGTGTTGCCGGCCCTCAGTGGCCCTCAGCAGGTGTTGCGGGTGTTGCCGGCCCTCAGTGGCCCTCAGCTGGTGTTGCGGGTGTTGCCGGCCCTCAGTGGCCCTCAGCTGGTGTTGCGGGTGTTGCCGGCCCTCAGTGGCCCTCTGGTGTTGCGGGTGTTGCCGGCCCTCAGTGGCCCTCAGCTGGTGTTGCGGGTGTTGCCGGCCCTCTGGCCCTCAGCAGGTGTTGCGGGTGTGGCCCTCAGCTCAGCTGGTGTTGCGGGTGTTGCCGGCCCTCAGTGGCCCTCAGCTGGTGTTGCGGGTGTTGCCGGCCCTCAGTGGCCCTCAGCTGGTGTTGCGGGTGTTGCCGGCCCTCAGTGGCCCTCAGCTGGTGTTGCGGGTGTTGCCGGCCCTCAGTGGCCCTCAGCTGGTGTTGCCGGCCCTCAGTGGCCCTCAGCTGGTGTTGCGGGTGTTGCCGGCCCTCAGTGGCCCTCAGCTGCGGGTGTTGCCGGCCCTCAGTGGCCCTCAGCTGGTGTTGCGGGTGTTGCCGGCCCTCAGTGGCCCTCAGCTGGTGTTGCGGGTGTTGCCGGCCCTCAGTGGCCCTCAGCTGGTGTTGCGGGTGTTGCCGGCCCTCAGTGGCCCTCAGCTGGTGTTGCGGGTGTTGCCGGCCCTCAGTGGCCCTCAGCTGGTGTTGCGGGTGTTGCCGGCCCTCAGTGGCCCTCAGCTGGTGTTGCGGGTGTTGCCGGCCCTCAGTGGCCAGTGGCCCTCAGCTGGTGTTGCGGGTGTTGCCGGCCCTCAGTGGCCCTCAGCTGGTGTTGCCGGCCCTCAGTGGCCCTCAGCTGGTGTTGCCGGCCCTCAGTGGCCCTCAGCTGGTGTTGCGGGTGTTGCCGGCCCTCAGTGGCCCTCAGCTGGTGTTGCGGGTGTTGCCGGCCCTCAGTGGCCCTCAGCTGGTGTTGCCGGCCCTCAGTGGCCCTCAGCTGGTGTTGCGGGTGTTGCCGGCCCTCAGTGGCCCTCAGCTGGTGTTGCGGGTGTTGCCGGCCCTCAGTGGCCCTCAGCTGGTGTTGCGGGTGTTGCCGGCCCTCAGTGGCCCTCAGCTGGTGTTGGCCGGCCCTCAGTGGCCCTCAGCGGGTGTTGCCGGCCCTCAGTGGCCCTCAGCTGGTGTTGCGGGTGTTGCCGGCCCTCAGTGGCCCTCAGCTGGTGTTGCCGGCCCTCAGTGGCCCTCAGCTGGTGTTGCGGGTGTTGCCGGCCCTCAGTGGCCCTCAGCTGGTGTTGCGGGTGTTGCCGGCCCTCAGTGGCCCTCAGCTGGTGTTGCGGGTGTTGCCGGCCCTCAGTGGCCCTCAGCTGGTGTTGCGGGTGTTGCCGGCCCTCAGTGGCCCTCAGCTGGTGTTGCGGGTGTTGCCGGCCCTCAGTGGCCCTCAGCTGGTGTTGCGGGTGTTGCCGGCCCTCAGTGGCCCTCAGCTGGTGTTGCGGGTGTTGCCGGCCCTCAGTGGCCCTCAGCTGGTGTTGCGGGTGTTGCCGGCCCAGTGGCCCTCAGTGGCCCTCAGCAGCTGGTGTTGCGGGTGTTGCCGGCCCTCAGTGGCCCTCAGCTGGTGTTGCGGGTGTTACCGGCCCTCAGTGGCCCTCAGCTGGTGTTGCGGGTGTTGCCGGCCCTCAGTGGCCCTCAGCTGGTGTTGCGGGTGTTGCCGGCCGTCAGTGGCCCTCAGCTGGTGTTGCGGGTGTTGCCGGCCGTCAGTGGCCCTCAGCAGGTGTTGCGGGTGTTGCCGGCCCTCAGTGGCCCTCAGCAGGTGTTGCGGGTGTTGCCGGCCCTCAGTGGCCCTCAGCTGGTGTTGCGGGTGTTGCCGGCCGTCAGTGGCCCTCAGCTGGTGTTGCGGGTGTTGCCGGCCCTCAGTGGCCCTCAGCTGGTGTTGCGGGTGTTGCCGGCCGTCTGTGGCCCTCAGCTGGTGTTGCGGGTGTTGCCGGCCCTCAGTGGCCCTCAGCTGGTGTTGCGGGTGTTGCCGGCCCTCAGTGGCCCTCAGCTGGTGTTGCGGGTGTTGCCGGCCCTCAGTGGCCCTCAGCTGGTGTTGCGGGTGTTGCCGGCCCTCAGTGGCCCTCAGCTGGTGTTGCGGGTGTTGCCGGCCCTCAGTGGCCCTCAGCTGGTGTTGCGGGTGTTGCCGGCCCTCAGTGGCCCTCAGCTGGTGTTGCGGGTGTTGCCGGCCCTCAGTGGCCCTCAGCTGGTGTTGCGGGTGTTGCCGGCCCTCAGTGGCCCTCAGCTGGTGTTGCGGGTGTTGCCGGCCCTCAGTGGCCCTCAGCTGGTGTTGCCGGCCCTCAGTGGCCCTCAGCTGGTGTTGCGGGTGTTGCCGGCCCTCAGTGGCCCTCAGCTGGTGTTGCGGGTGTTGCCGGCCCTCAGTGGCTACACGAGCGATGAGAGAGAAATGTGATAGAGAGAAAGAGATGAGAGAGAGAGAGATGAGAAAAGAGAGAGGGAGGGAGAGAGAGAGAGAGATTATTATCAATTGCACATCAACACCGTCTGTTACTGGTGTCAGGTGAGGCGAGTGTTCACAGTGGCTGGGTTCCTCTCTGAATGTAAAATAGTCCTCGCTAGCTCACCAGGATTGTGTTCACTCATCCTCTAACTTCTGGAACAATTGAAATCTTAATTGTATTTGTAGTTGCCAGAACGCCTGGAGTCTTATGTTTATAAGTGGTCGGTCCTGTTCCACAATTACCTTTGGTGGTGTTGCTTCAGAGTCGGGAACACCTTAACGAATGCGTGTTGTGTATGTTATGTTGGCGAGTCTGCCTTTAGTAAAAACTTTAATAAGCTTTGTGTAGATTACTCCAGCTATAAAATAAGCTGGTTTATATTATGAATAGAATAAAATGACTGATCTATCATATTTGTGTTGCTTTGGCTTGATGAAGTAATTCGATCTTATTTCGGAAACAATTTAAGCTAATATCTTTTTCCAGGAACTTTTGGCAAACTTAAGCAAGCACAGCTTAGTGTTCCCTTGTTGTGCATATTGGGCGTGGTGTTGAACACCACGCGGCGACCTGTTCACTCTCACGTAAAACTACAACAAAGTTGTAAACATTTCAAGGTCTTCTGGATAGGAATTTCCCAGAGAATCTTTTCGAGCGGAATGTGTTCATACTTATTCTGTCCCTGGAAAACCTTGAGATATTTCACCTAGACCCCCCTCACCTAGACCCCCCTCACCTAGACCCCCTCACCTAGACCCCCTCACCTGGACCCCCTCACCTAGACCCACCTCACCTAGACCCTCCTCACCTAGACCCACCTCACCTAGACCCTCCTCACCTAGACCCTCCTCACCTAGACCCACCTCACCTAGACCCTCCTCACCTAGACCCTCCTCACCTAGACCCACCTCACCTAGACCCACCTCACCTAGACCCCCTCACCTAGACCCACCTCACCTAGACCCCCTCACCTAGACCCACCTCACCTAGACCCCCCTCACCTAGACCCACCTCACCTAGACCCCTCTCACCTAGACCCCCTCACCTAAGAGCCCCTCACCCGGGTGCAGTTGCACGTAGCATCGTTCAACATAAATATTAAACACTCACGCGTTCAGAACACATTTTTAATTTACAGTTCAGACGTAAATATCGGGATGACGAATGTGTACAATTACAAAATATATTCTTTGATCCGCTCCGACATTCGTAATTAAAACGAGAACATTTATTTAGAGTCAGCGGGACAAGTGCGACTATTGGCCCCAGGAGTGACACACCAGGTTATGGGCAAGTGGGGGACACTATCACTTCATTACTGGCTTTGGCGACTCTCCTGGCCGGTACTGGTGACTCTCCTGGCCGGTACTGGTGACTCTCCTGGTCGGTACTGGTGACTCTCCTGGCCGGTACTGGCGACTCTCCTGGCCGGTACTGGTGACTCTCCTGGCCGGTACTGGTGACTCTCCTGGCCGGTACTGGCGACTCTCCTGGTCGGTACTGGTGACTCTCCTGGCCGGTACTGGCGACTCTCCTGGCCGGTACTGGTGACTCTCCTGGCCGGTACTGGTGACTCTCCTGGCCGGTACTGGTGACTCTCCTGGCCGGTACTGGTGACTCTCCTGGCCGGTACTGGCGACTCTCCTGGTCGGTACTGGTGACTCTCCTGGCCGGTACTGGCGACTCTCCTGGCCGGTACTGGTGACTCTCCTGGCCGGTACTGGTGACTCTCCTGGCCGGTACTGATGACTCTCCTGGCCGGTACTGGTGACTCTCCTGGCCGGTACTGGCGACTCTCCTGGCCGGTACTGGCGACTCTCCTGGCCGGTACTGGCGACTCTCCTGGCCGGTACTGGCGACTCTCCTGGCCGGTTTTCGTGACTCTCCTGGCCGGTACTGGTGACTCTAATGGCCGGTACTGGTGACTCTAATGGCCGGTACTGGCGACTCTCCTGGCCGGTACTGGCGACTCTCCTGGCCGGTACTGGCGACTCTCCTGGCCGGTTTTCGTGACTCTCCTGGCCGGTACTGGTGACTCTCCTGGCCGGTACTGGCGACTCTCCTGGCCGGTACTGGTGACTCTCCTGGCCGGTACTGGCGACTCTCCTGGCCGGTACTGGCGACTCTCCTGGCCGGTTTTGGCGACTCTCCTGGCCGGTTTTGGCGACTCTCCTGGCCGGTACTGGCGACTCTCCTGGCCGGTTTTGGCGACTCTCCTGGCCGGTACTGGCGACTCTCCTGGCCGGTTTTGGCGACTCTCCTGGCCGGTACTGGCGACTCTCCTGGCCGGTTTTGGCGACTCTCCTGGCCGGTACTGGCGACTCTCCTGGCCGGTTTTGGCGACTCTCCTGGCCGGTTTTGGCGACTCTCCTGGCCGGTACTGGCGACTCTCCTGGCCGGTACTGGCGACTCTCCTGGCCGGTTTTGGCGACTCTCCTGGCCGGTACTGGCGACTCTCCTGGCCGGTTTTGGCGACTCTCCTGGCCGGTACTGGCGACTCTCCTGGCCGGTACTGGTGACTCTCCTGGCCGGTACTGGTGACTCTCCTGGCCGGTACTGGTGACTCTCCTGGCCGGTTTTGGCGACTCTCCTGGCCGGTTTTGGCGACTCTCCTGGCCGGTTTTGGCGACTCTCCTGGCCGGTTTTGGCGACTCTCCTGGCCGGTTTTGGCGACTCTCCTGGCCGGTACTGGCGACTCTCATGGCCGGTTTTGGCGACTCTCCTGGCCGGTACTGGCGACTCTGCTGGCCGGTACTGGCGACTCTCCTGGCCGGTACTGGTGACTCTCCTGGCCGGTACTGGCGACTCTCCTGGCCGGTACTGGCGACTCTCCTGGCCGGTACTGGCGACTCTCCTGGCCGGTACTGGTGACTCTCCTGGCCGGTACTGGCGACTCTCCTGGCCGGTACTGGCGACTCTCCTGGCCGGTACTGGTGACTCTCCTGGCCGGTACTGGCGACTCTCCTGGCCGGTACTGGTGACTCTCCTGGCCGGTACTGGCGACTCTCCTGACCGGTTTTGGCGACTCTCCTGGCCGGTTTTGGCGACTCTCCTGGCCGGTTTTGGCGACTCTCCTGGCCGGTACTGGTGACTCTCCTGGCCGGTTTTGGCGACTCTCCTGGCCGGTTTTGGCGACTCTCCTGGCCGGTTTTGGCGACTCTCCTGGCCGGTTTTGGCGACTCTCCTGGCCGGTACTGGCGACTCTCCTGGCCGGTTTTGGCGACTCTCCTGGCCGGTACTGGCGACTCTCCTGGCTGGTACTGGCGACTCTCCTGGCCGGTACTGGCGACTCTCCTGGCCGGTTTTGGCGACTCTCCTGGTCGGTTTTGGCGACTCTCCTGGCCGGTTTTGGTGACTCTCATGGCCGGTTTTGGTGACTCTCCTGGCCGGTTTTGGTGACTCTCCTGGCCGGTTTTGGTGACTCTCCTGGCCGGTTTTGGTGACTCTCCTGGCCTGTTTTGGTGACTCTCCTGGCCTGTTTTGGTGACTCTCCTGGCCGGTTTTGGCGACTCTCCTGGCCGGTTTTGGCGACTCTCCTGGCCGGTACTGGCGACTCTCCTGGCCGGTACTGGTGACTCTCCTGGCCGGTACTGGCGACTCTCCTGGCCGGTACTGGCGACTCTCCTGGCCGGTACTGGCGACTCTCCTGGCCGGTACTGGCGACTCTCCTGGCCGGTTTTGGCGACTCTCCTGGCCGGTTTTGGCGACTCTCCTGGCCGGTTTTGGCGACTCTCCTGGCCGGTTTTGGCGACTCTCCTGGCCGGTTTTGGCGACTCTCCTGGCCCGTTTTGGTGATTCTCCTGGCCGGTTTTGGCGACTCTCCTGGCCGGTTTTGGCGACTCTCCTAACCGGTTTTGGTGACTCTACTGGCCGGATTTTGGTGACTCTCCTGGCCTGTTTTAGAGACCCCTGACCGGTTTCAGTGATTCCGGCAGTTTCCGCCACCACTTCCATTTCTTGGATTACTTTCCTAATGAGAGGAGCGAGAGTGAGAGTAAACTGGTGTGACACAGGATGCGAGTGAACACAGCCCCGCCGGCACCAGTCGTGTGGCACGGGGGTAAAACACGGGTTCTGTGAACGTGAAACACGCTGAACTTCACACGGGGGATTGCCTGAATAATTTTGCAGTTATGGTAAACTCTGAATGAATTTTATCCTTAAAATCTGGCAGTGTCTGTGTGTGTGTGTGTGCTCGCGCGCGCGCGCATGTAACATCTTTTATACATGAAAATCTGTGCAGAAAACAGAACAATTCTCTTACACAAAATTGTTAAGTGAACTGTGCGGAATTTTTTTTTTTACAGAACTTTGGAATATGCTTTTGTAATTAACTTTGTGGTGCATTATATATATATATATATATATATATATATATATATATATATATATATATATATATATATATATATATATATATATATATATATATATATATATTTTGGTAGCAGTCTTTCCTGTAGGCATATATTATTATATATGACCGAAAATTATATATATATATATATATATATATATATATATATATATATATATATATATATATATATATATATATATATATATATATATATATATATATTGTGTTTATAATAAATATTAAGAAATGTCAAAGAAAAGCGATCTCTGAAGTCAAGAATAACACAAAGAAAAATCCGAAATTTTTGTAAGTATTTTCAGTCATTTGAGGAAGTTGTCAGACACAGCAACAGGGGCTAGTGGGGCAGGGGTAGGGGAGCATGAGGGGCTAGTGGGGCAGGGGTAGGGGAGCATGAGGGGCTAGTGGGGCAGGGGTAGGGGAGCATGAGGGGCTAGTGGGGCAGGGGTAGGGGAGCATGAGGGGCTAGTGGGGCAGGGGTAGGGGAGCATGAGGGGCTAGTGGGGCAGGGGTAGGGGAGCATGAGGGGCTAGTGGGGCAGGGGTAGGGGAGCATGAGGGGCTAGTGGGGCAGGGGTAGGGGAGCATGAGGGGCTAGTGGGGCAGGGGTAGGGGAGCATGAGGGGATAGTGGGGAGCGGGACAGCATGGAAGATGGGATGGGAGAAAGGGGCGGGGAGGGATAGTGGAATGAGAGTAGAATGACTTGTTTCGCATTTGTCTTTAATTACCAAAAGCTCTACAAATGGTGGTGGCGTCAGTTAGTTAAGAAACACCTTGAGTGACGAGGTCAACACGTGACCAAATGTTTAGTGACAGGTGGACTCGTGTGCTCCGTCACGGCTCATGAACCTCACAATGTAATTGAAGACACACTTCTGATTTATGTTATCTGTTATGTTCAAAACAAATGAAAACACTTGCGAAACACACTTACGGTCTTGTTGTGTGAGGCCCTCCACCACCACCACCGACCTGTTAGTTGTGTGAGGCCCTCCACCACCGACCTGTTAGTTGTGTGAGGCCCTCCACCACCGACCTGTTAGTTGTGTGAGGCCCTCCACCACCGACCTGTTAGTTGTGTGAGGCCCTCCACCACCGACCTGTTAGTTGTGTGAGGCCCTCCACCACCGTCCTGTTAGTTGTGTGAGGCCCTCCACCACCGTCCTGTTAGTTGTGTGAGGCCCTCCACCACCGACCTGTTAGTTGTGTGAGGCCCTCCACCACCGACCTGTTAGTTGTGTGAGGCCCTCCACCACCGTCCTGTTAGTTGTGTGAGGCCCTCCACCACCGACCTGTTAGTTGTGTGAGGCCCTCCACCACCGTCCTGTTAGTTGTGTGAGGCCCTCCACCACCGACCTGTTAGTTGTGTGAGGCCCTCCACCACCGACCTGTTAGTTGTGTGAGGCCCTCCACCACCGTCCTGTTAGTTGTGTGAGGCCCTCCACCACCGTCCTGTTAGTTGTGTGAGGCCCTCCACCACCGACCTGTTAGTTGTGTGAGGCCCTCCACCACCGTCCTGTTAGTTGTGTGAGCCCTCCACCACCGTCCTGTTAGTTGTGTGAGGCCCTCCACCACCGTCCTGTTAGTTGTGTGAGGCCCTCCACCACCGACCTGTTAGTTGTGTGAGGCCCTCCACCACCGTCCTGTTAGTTGTGTGAGGCCCTCCACCACCGTCCTGTTAGTTGTGTGAGGCCCTCCACCACCGTCCTGTTAGTTGTGTGAGGCCCTCCACCACCGACCTGTTAGTTGTGTGAGGCCCTCCACCACCGTCCTGTTAGTTGTGTGAGGCCCTCCACCACCGTCCTGTTAGTTGTGTGAGGCCCTCCACCACCGACCTGTTAGTTGTGTGAGGCCCTCCACCACCGTCCTGTTAGTTGTGTGAGGCCCTCCACCACCGACCTGTTAGTTGTGTGAGGCCCTCCACCACCGACCTGTTAGTTGTGTGAGGCCCTCCACCACCGTCCTGTTAGTTGTGTGAGGCCCTCCACCACCGTCCTGTTAGTTGTGTGAGGCCCTCCACCACCGACCTGTTAGTTGTGTGAGGCCCTCCACCACCGTCCTGTTAGTTGTGTGAGGCCCTCCACCACCACCACCGACCTGTTAGTTGTGTGAGGCCCTCCACCACCGACCTGTTAGTTGTGTGAGGCCCTCCACCACCACCACCGTCCTGTTAGTTGTGTGAGGCCCTCCACCACCGTCCTGTTAGTTGTGTGAGGCCCTCCACCACCGACCTGTTAGTTGTGTGAGGCCCTCCACCACCGACCTGTTAGTTGTGTGAGGCCCTCCACCACCGTCCTGTTAGTTGTGTGAGGCCCTCCACCACCGTCCTGTTAGTTGTGTGAGGCCCTCCACCACCGACCTGTTAGTTGTGTGAGGCCCTCCACCACCGTCCTGTTAGTTGTGTGAGGCCCTCCACCACCGACCTGTTAGTTGTGTGAGGCCCTCCACCACCGTCCTGTTAGTTGTGTGAGGCCCTCCACCACCGACCTGTTAGTTGTGTGAGGCCCTCCACCACCGTCCTGTTAGTTGTGTGAGGCCCTCCACCACCGACCTGTTAGTTGTGTGAGGCCCTCCACCACCGACCTGTTAGTTGTGTGAGGCCCTCCACCACCGACCTGTTAGTTGTGTGGGGCCCTCCACCACCGACCTGTTAGTTGTGTGAGGCCCTCCACCACCGTCCTGTTAGTTGTGTGAGGCCCTCCACCACCGTCCTGTTAGTTGTGTGAGGCCCTCCACCACCGACCTGTTAGTTGTGTGAGGCCCTCCACCACCGTCCTGTTAGTTGTGTGAGGCCCTCCACCACCGACCTGTTAGTTGTGTGGGGCCCTCCACCACCGTCCTGTTAGTTGTGTGAGGCCCTCCACCACCGACCTGTTAGTTGTGTGAGGCCCTCCACCTCCACCGTCATAACCCGGACAAGACAGGAGCCGGTCAACCACTCCGGCTTACCCGTAAATATAATGTCGTTGACATAACATAAATAGGCCAACTTATATAATTTACGGCCAAAGAATATAGGATAAAAATGATTATGAGGTAAGAAGGCTTAGCAGAGCCAGGGATGAAGGCTCCCCGTCCCCGGGAGCGGTGTCCGGTGACCCCTGCTCTTTGGTTTTTACAAATCCTGGCTGACACGGGGTTATATATTCATAGTTTTGTAAACTTGGTTTGTCTCTGTAACTGTTTTCCTCCAACTGTGTTTCTTCTCCATGTTTGATCTTTTGTCCCATGTTGGGTCAAGTGTCATCTTCAGACTCTCTCTCTCTGGTTTATATTTCCCGTGTCCTGTACCACGGAACACCGCCACTTGTCACGGCTCTCAACCACTAACTACTCTTCTCAACCACTAACTACTCTTCGCAACCACTAACTACTCTTCTCAACCACTAACTACTCTTCGCAACCACTAACTACTCTTCTCAACCACTAACTACTCTTCTCAACCACTAACTACTCTTCGCAACCACTAACTACTCTTCGCAACCACTAACTACTCTTCTCAACCACTAACTACTCTTCTCAACCACTAACTACTCTTCGCAACCACTAACTACTCTTCTCAACCACTAACTACTCTTCGCAACCACTAACTACTCTTCGCAACCACTAACTACTCTTCTCAACCACTAACTACTCTTCTCAACCACTAACTACTCTTCGCAACCACTAACTACTCTTCTCAACCACTAACTACTCTTCTCAACCACTAACTACTCTTCGCAACCACTAACTACTCTTCGCAACCACTAACTACTCTTTCTCAACCACTAACTACTCTTCTCAACCACTAACTACTCTTCGCAACCACTAACTACTCTTCTCAAACCACTAACTACTCTTCTCAACCACTAACTACTCTTCGCAACCACTAACTACTCTTCTCAACCACTAACTACTCTTCTCAACCACTACTACTCTTCTCAACACCACTAACTACTCTTCTCAACTACGTAAACAACCAATGAGTAAAATCACTGCAGCACCTAGACAATTAAGAATGGCTGCTAAACCAATAAATGAAGCCACATGCACAAGTAAAACAGCCCCTGAAGCAGCAAACACAAACTATGCCCCCTGAGAGGCAACATTGACAAGGTGATGGGTGTGTAACCTCGTGTCACGGCCTTAATGACCTCCGGAGGCTAATTAGCCTCAGCCACACACTGAACCAAACCGTGATTTAATATTAACCTTAACATCTTATTTTACCCTTGTGAGTCCCAGCGTGCACTGTGCACCCACCTTTACTCGCTCTATTATGTAATGAATGTATATTAAACTGAAAATATAGCGAGAAGAATGACTAGGTGAATTTCGGGCATTAATTATCTCCGCCATTAATAGTCTTAAGAACATTCTGGTCACATTGACTAGAGAAGCGACCAGTATGGCGGGACATGATTGAAGGATACAAAATAATAGAGACACATAACCAGGGGTTATTAATAGCAATATAAAACAATAG